ATTTATGATTTGTTGAAATGACTTGAAAACTGCGGGACGAGAAAGATGCGGAAAACATACTGAATTAAAATGGATCACAATATTGTGAATGCTTCATAAACGCTCACACTGTTAGATCAGAATTTTAAATGCAAACGTGCCCAAATCAGAACATTTAATCAGAAAATCAAAATTTAAATCTAACATTAGACATCAGTTTCATGATAAAACAAAAAAAAAAACAGCATAAGTCAATTATTCTAATAAAATGTTATATAGCTACGTATTCAACACATGTAAATAATATATTTTTTATTTTTTTGCCCTCGCTCTTCATGGTCATCATATTTCATTCTGACTGCAGTCGACAGCCGAATAATTCGCTGTGATCTCATTAACCATCAAACAAACGAGGCGACTAATCGCGGAGACTCCATCTAATTAACTTTGATTCATTCTGCTGACGGTTTTAATTATCTGAGAGTCGCTAAAGTTACGAGACGCTTTCTGTCCAATCTCCAACCTAACGATTAAAACCTGATGTTTGTTGTGCAGCGTGGAGGTCAGGTTAAACATTGTGAATGTGGTGAAATATGGGTGAGTTTTTAAAAAAAGCTAAACAATAAATGATGACAGTGCTCATAGCAACCTCTGAAAAAGTCTTGCAGGCTCTCCCTGACAAAGTGGTGGAATCCACTGCAGAAACATGGCTCTCCGTTAACGGGGCCAAGATCGTTACGACTTCAGACAAGCCAGGTTGTTGCTTTTTTTTTTTTTTTTGTGAAGAAATCGAAAAGACAGAGTTTTTATTATTTAAACTTGATCACTTTTGAGGCTAAGTGTAAGACCGGAAATCGAAAGAGAACAGCCGTTATCAATATTTAGCAAGAAAAACCTAAACTTTTTATGAAAGGTAAAATCAAGTTGCTCATGTGCTACATCTAATCACAGAATCAGAATCAGAATAAAATGTATTGGAATTGCACCGAGGTACAACGCGAATATGTACGTACAGTCGTCCGAAAGATGGGCGGAGTGCACAAAGATAGATGAAGCTTTTGTCCTTGGGTACTCATGTCCCAGGAGAAATTTGATAGTCGGCCTGTCTCCGAGGCTGTCGGGGAGTCAGATTCAGATAAGCTTGATTCTTGTTTTTCTTCAGGCAGACAGATTACTTTTTTCCAGCCTTGAATCCATCTGGGCGTTCTGGTTCCGAAAATGCCTAATTGTGAGATTCCATTCCACTGATCCATGCTATGAGTCTCCTTCAAGGTTGAACCCACCACGCTGATGAGTCCCAGAAGCCGCAGGTGGCCTGTGATTCTCAATCGCCTCCACCTTACGGCTAAGCTCGTAAACCAGATGATTCAAAGTTCCCACAGCGAGGACCAAACCTTCACACTGACTCGGAAGCTTTTCCATGGCCGAAACTGTTCCCGCCGTCTTCTTCAAAAGTCAATAAAACAGAGCCCCACCGATGCCAAAAAGCAGAGTCCCTGCTATCATAATTCCAAATATGTAAACATCTTCAACATCCTCCTGAGACAGGACTGTGATGCACATCATCTGCCACACTCCCCACGAATCCATGACGTACCCCACAGCGTGAGTCTCAGCTGGACACGCCGGTTCTCCAGGACCTTGTCGCTTTGATGAAAAAATCTTATCAATAGAGTTGAATGCCCACAATACCAAATCCATAATCTTCTTAATTTATGTTCGGGAGATGTGACCCAAGCGCTTCAGACATACAGAGAGCAGTGAAGGAAGAAGGAAAAACGGGGGAGGAAAAACAGAAGCTGCCACCTCGATCAGAGTCTGGGAGGATAAAAGGCAAGGCAGAAAGGCAATCTCAGATTCTTGGGCATGTTAGGTCTGATTTTACGAGGTAGATAACTGGATAACTGACCTTATCACTCTATCTCTAAGGAAAAATCCAGTTACCCTGAAAAAAATCCCCTGCCTGTATCCACAATCTTTTGTTCACTACCCAGTTTTTGACCACAGGTCAGGGTAGGAAGTTGGAACGTAGACCAACTGGTAAACAGAGAGCTTTACAGCTCAGCTACCGCCTCACCCCAACAGACCGGCGCAGAGTCCACAATACCGCCAAAGCTGCACTGATCCGTCAGTCGATCTCACGCTCCATTCCTTCGCTCGTGAACAAACCACTTGAACTCCTTCACTTGAAGCATCAGCTCACCCCCCAGCTCAGAAAATGTGTAAATTATCATTTAAATCTGGCTCAGAGTTCAGTCGTTACAACACACGTGGGTGTATTTATCTGTTTGTGTTTACGCGACATAGAAATGCTTCCAGAAATATTCACAGTTGTGTTCCAGTCATGGAATTAAAATATAATATATGATCAGCCAGTTCCAAACACTTGATCCACTCTGTGTTTTATTTTCCTATACACGCCCTTCAGTTTGCCAACAGGATGATAAGACTGAAACCCAGCGCAACCTGATGCACTTTAACAGCTTTAAAGAACTCAGATGCCGTACATCTATACCTAATAATCTGCAGTCTGAAACACAGGCAACACAAACAGTAGAAATCAATGGCATCAGAAGCATTTGTTTTGTGGGGGGAGGAGGGAGACACACTGGTGGGAGTGCGGGGTGTCTGGGGGATCCTCCCCAGAAAACTTTTGAATAAAGTAGATTCCATTTCCTGCATTCTGGTGTATTTTAACGGCTTGTTAAACATCTACATTTACCTACATAAGCAAACATTTGATTCAGTAACTATTCTAGAGAACACACCACAACAAGAAGTAGCCTGACCAACAGCTCCCCTTGTGTGAATAGAGCATGCTCCGCTTCTTTCATGCATCCTAATCCGCACACCCCGGTCAACAACGGCCGGCACTAACATAGCGCTAAGCTAGCGTGCAACACAGAGGCATCTCACTCCCCTCCTCCCCCCACCCTATCAAGGAAAAACTCGGACGAGATGAGCGCCCTGCCAAGCCAAGTGACCTAGAGGAAACTGCATGTGGTGTCAAGTTGTTGTAGGTAACCAGGAAAACCCGGAGTGGACTTTTTAGTGGTTTGAGTTTTCTCCTGTTAATCAAGTGGAATTGATTTGTTCACAAAGAATAGAAATAGCGCTGGGTCAACTAATATTTCATAGTAAATGTGGGGGGTCCAAATTAATATTTTTTTAAATGTGGGGTCGGGGGGGGCATGTTCCCTTCCCATATAGTTGATGCGACACCTATGATAGAAACTAAAAGCTGTCAGGTATAGAAATACATAAAACATCTGCAGCCATGGACCAGAGCTGGTGTTTCAGAAAGAGAACGTCAAGTTGGATCTTTCCCAAGATGAATTTTCATGAAAACTTGGGCTGAAAATGTGACCTGCAGCAGAACGGGTTGTCTTACACAAGAACTGAAAAGAAGTCTGAATTCACATCCTTCTGATCAGTGATTAGTTTGGTAGATGGGGAGACACGACATCGTTGCCTGGTTGGGTCTTGGACTCGTGGACACTTTTAACAAGTGCTTCCTAAACTTTTCAGCTTCTGACCCACAAAGTATAATCTGAGTCTTCCCACCCCAAATTAGATTTTTAATACACAACTTTACTAACATCCTTAATTAACAAAGTCATAATGACAATACAAGCAGCCTTAAGAGCGTGCTACTATTTTTTATTGATTTATGATTATTGTATTTATTTTGTTTTTTATACATAAATATGGCCAAGATGTGCTGTTGCTGACCTTATTTAATTTAATTTGATTTATGGAGGTTATCTGGGGACCCTCATTTGATGCTTCACTGGTAAAAAGTAATCTTTTTACTTTTTAGCATTGCTTTTATCATCAAAATTTTCTTCCAAATTATATTTATTTGATTACATTTTATTTGATATTTTTTTATATTTTAAAATAACTTTTTTATTATAACATTTAATAGTTAAGGTTGCTCCAGGTGTTAGCTCTTATGTTTGTATTTAAAGTGGTAAAGAGCGTAGACAAACACACTAAGAGACGGCTATTTTTAACACCATACCTTCTTTTTAGGACATAAATATTTAGAGTAATATTTATGTAATTTTAGTAATATTTAGATTTTTTTTAATACATTTCTAATAATACAGAGCACACTGAATCACAGTCACTCTGAGTGTGTTTTTTGAAGGATTTTAACCTAAAGAATGATACTTTTAAATAACTTTCATGTTTCAGTTTTTACATATTTTAAGTTTAAGTATTTTCAGTGCGAAAAAGGTTCACAAACTCTGGATTTTTTTTTGGTTTTGGGGTTTTAAAAGTAAATGAACTGTCTTGCAACCAGTTTTATTATTTGTTTTGCGCTAACCTTTTGAGCATAAATTGCTTTTTCTGGTTTTTAAAGAAACATTTCAGCAGGAAGTCCTAACTTTTTAGCTGCGATCTAATGAACTTTATCTGCACGTAAAGACTGAACGAGTGCTGTTAGCTTTCTAACTGCTTCACTGATTTTTTTTTTGCCTTTTTCCCCACATTAAAGTAAAGTCAGGTATTTATTTTTTAATTTTGATTGAGGTTAAATTGCACAAAATACTTCTGAGTATTTACTGTCCTACCTGCATCAGACAGAAGTCACAGTATGGAGAAGCAATGAGCTCGTTTTTATTACACACTGTATAAACCTTTGTTAGAGTTTTATTATGGATTTTACACCAGTTTGCTTTCGATATATGTTGTTTTTTTTGGCTCTAGTTTTTCTCCAGCAGGTAAACGTCAAAGGTTGTAAGATGGCCACACATTTTAAAGACATGTAACAATAGACTACGTTTGTGTTTTATGTCTAAATGAGCTGCAAAAAAAACCTGAATGAAACTCTAAAACTTCACTTTTTGATTATTTTATCTTATTTCACGAGAACTCGGCAACAATTCCATACCAGGACCTGGGCTCCAGTTCAGTCCTCAGATACTCAACAAGTCTTTTGGTTTTTCAGCACTTAAAATAGAGTTGTCACTTTAACGGCTCACGGTTTGATGTTTGATGTGTGGCTTTGCCAGGTGGTACGTGACCAGATCACCCACTGCACCATGAAGCTGCGGCAGACCACCGGCATGATGGAGTACTGCCTGGAAGTTCTGAAGGAGAACGACCCGAGTGGTTTCCTGCAGGTATCTGACCCGACAGTCTGTGTGTGAAGGATTGTCTGCATGGGAGGTTCCTTAAAACAGGCTTTACAAAGCGAATAACCAAACATAAAGGATTAGGCCTGTCGTGATAAACAATAAATCAATCAATCACATGATAAAAATTATCGACCTCATTTTCATTTATCGGCTTTATCGTTTCTTCGTGTCTCTCTCTTTCTACTGAAGACACTGGATGACGAAAGGCTCAACTCTGGTGCTTCTTTTCTCTTTAAAATCCGTTTTAATCATCTAAAATTGCGTTTTTGGATCGTTGAAAGCAGCTAAGCTGACAAGCAAAGCGAGCGGACCAACCTCGGGGAAAAAACATGTCTTGTCAAAGCTCCAAAATTCACAGTTGAAACCCGTGCCTTTATGTAAAAAGTTGTTTTTCTCCGAAAAAAGAATCTGAGAACTTGTTTACGGATTTTTTATTAAAAGCTTTGTGTGAAAAATGCTATGCTAAAGAGCTCAAACCACACCAAGCGTCCGCCATTTTGAGAACCGAATAAACAGGAAGGAGAGACGGCCCATGTCACGTCAAGGGGCCTCCCTCCCATTTTCCTTAAAGAGACACGCTGCTCGCTCCCTCACTATCCATCCTTCTGTCCAAACAGGCTTACACTGCCATCTAGCAGTCAAAATAGTTACTACACACAAAAATTAGCCAACATTTCTTCTTAAATTTAACAATAATTATTGTCAAATGTCAAACAATATTATCGTTTATCGCAATAATTTTTGAGACAATTAATCGCCCAGCAAAATTTGTTATCGTGACAGGCCTATGAAAATAGTCAAGAGGTGGGCATTCACACATTCACACACAATTTTTTTTCTGAATTAATTACCTGAAGTATGAACACTTGGAATTAAACAACTACGACGTAAATATTAATAAAAAACAAACAAAAAAAAAGGAATAAGAAAATAAAATAAGTTGTTCAGCTTAGTTGGAATTATCTGTTTCTGAAGCTCAACAACAAGAACTCCCTGCAAATATCAGCTTTGATTAACTAATACTACAGCTTATTGGATTTAAATTCTCCTCACACCGTTGCTCATCAGCAGGTTTACGTGATCAGAAACTAATCTGTATTTATTGATCTGCACACGCTGGGATAAATGGTTTAGTCCAATGCGTTTGTGTTGAATGAGCGTTATCGATGTGTTTTACAGAAAACGTCTAAATATTAGCAAGAGCCTCAGGTATTAGTTATAAAATATCTCTAATAGAAGAAAAAACTAAGGTAAAGGAGGAAAATGAGATGCAAGACTTCCTTTGTCTTAGTTCTTCTGAATATTTAAAAACTTATTGATTTTGTGCTTCTTTATCGCCAGCAGTGTCGACATCCTCAATAAAAGCTCACGAGGAGTTAAAGCTGCTTTAATGATATATTTAAGCTGATTAACATTTGTAAATTCACCACAGTTTGAATTAATCTGACACCAAACGTGTCACTAAACGTACTGATCTGCTGTAAAGCCAGAGGATACGATTTCAAATCCTCAGCTTCTGCCTCAGAGCAGTTCAGTCCGTCACGTTTTATTTTGCAGCTGAGTGCAGTTTAACGGACTCGTTCAGCTCTCATTTCCATCTGCAGTGATCGGGTGTGTGTGTGTGTCAATTCCTGTTCTTTAATGTTTAAACTGCACTAATGATCACTCGTCAGGCACAAACGAATGAAGCCAGACCTCAGAATTCATCCAGGGAGGCAGGACAGAGACGCAGTGAGCAGTGGAGTCACCTGGATTCAAGATGGCTGCCACAGCCAATCCACCCCTAACACACAAAAATGGCTACAACTCCGTCAATTTTAAAGATACTGATGCAGCATTTGGTATATTTGTAGCTGAGAGTTAGCGAAATATTTTATTTATATATGTATGTATACATATATACATATACATACATAT